AAGTTTAATTTTTATGTTAAACAAACTTGTACAGCGCCATCTGTTTACTACAGTAAAAACATGCATCTTCACTCATTTATACTGATTATTCATGTAAACAAAAAATAACAACTATGCATATCAATCTTTTAGTTTTAGGCGAAATGGCATTACAATATAGTAATGTATTCTCTGGCTAACATCTATCTTTCTCGCTTAGTATTATTTTTTAAACATAAGGTTCTCTAAAAATTACATCATTTACTTACAATAAAATTGATTGAAGCTAAACAAGGCATAAGTTGCTCAAAAAGTAAGGTTATTTAGTACAATGTAATTAACTGAAACTATGAAAGTCACAAGTTTCTCTGACGGTAAATCACGTCGTAACGAAGATCATCAGTTTCTCTGACGATAAAACTACCGGTGACAATAGAACTAAAGCATTGAAGCTATGAAAGTTACAAGTTTCTCTGACGGGAAAACTACCGATGACTATAGAACTAACTCATTGAAGCTATGAAAGTCACAAGTTTCTCTAAAGGTAAAAAATACCAATGAAAAATTTTGATTGAAGCTATGAAAGTCACACGTACGTCTAAATATACAAATTCGATGTAAACAAATAATATTTTACAGATTCCGCATGTTCAGTTATTATATTGTATAAACTATTTTATAGATTCAAAACCATCAGATGTTGACTTATATAATATGTTGTACATTCTAAGCCCTTAGATAATGGAACGTATGTAACGGTCTTGTTATTAACAAGGTGGTCTATGAAATGGGCACTCATCCATGCTGGATGATACGTTCTTGTGATTAAAAATGTGGCCTATGAGATGAACACTTATTCATGCTGGATGTTACATTCTTGTCATTAAAAATGTGGCCTATGAGATGAACACTTATTCATGCTGGATGTTATGTTCTTGTCATTAACAATGTGGTTTTTGAATGTTACGTTTTTCACCAACTTGTAGACAAAGATTATTTTGCTAAAGCATATCGTGCAGCATTTCAACCACTGAAAGCATCATTTGCATATTGCTTGATAAAGAAATTCATTGCGTATAGTCATTGTCATTTTGTACGGTTTAAAAATTGGCCACACGAGCAGCAACATGACATAGCTTTATCTATCGAATTTTGCTTGTATTCGTACAAAAGCTTGGAAAACAAAATTCTAAAATGGTTTATTCGTCTTTATTTTGGTTCAAATTTCCTTTAGTTTTTTATAACTGTTTTATTCCCTGTTACAATGTAGTATACGTATATAGAATAGTTTTCAACTGCTCTCTTTCCATATATATTTTTTCTAGTTACTTTCATCTTAAGTCCCCAATTTTTATTGTATTTTGCTTCTTAGTTACCCTCTGCTTAATGAATTTATGTTTTCATGTTTCTAGCGATAAGACTGAACGTTTATAAAGCTAAAAATCGGGTTTCGATACACGTGGTCAGTGGAACACATATGGTCTATTGCGTGGCTTTGTGCTTAACAACAAACAAACAATTATTATCTTTCTGCCTCTCTCTCTTTCCATATCGTATATTTAATTTTTCACCACCTTTCTTGTTGGTATTGAATCTGTTTATTTTCTTACTTTCCTGACTTTAACAATTTTGTTATAAACACACTTTATTACTCTTCTTTACTGTTTCCTCCTTTCAACTTAACATAATTCAATCCTCTCTAAATGTTTATTCTAAACATTTCTTAATTTCTTTTCTTTTCTCGACACTATGCACTTTTTGTTTTCAAGTTTCAATTTCTAAATGAATTGCTTTATATTTTCGTTTTTTTTTCTTTTGTTCTCTGTAACTTTATTTTTTATATTATTTTCCAATTACCTATTTTCTCTCTTTTGCTTTCTTACATCGTCTTAATTCGTTTTTGATGGTCGCGAGTTCGAAACCCCGTTACTGAGCATGCTCGTCCTTTCAGCCTTGGGGACTTTATAATGTTACAGTCAATCCCACTTTTCATTGGTAAAAGAGTAGTCTAAGATTTGGTGGTGGGTGATGTTGACTAGCTGCTTTCCCTCTAGTCTATCATTGCTAAATTAGGGACGGATAGTGCAGATAGCCCTCGTGTAGTTTTGCGTGAAATTTAAAAACAAACAAACAAAAGTTCGTTTCAATCGATAACATTAAAAAGTAAAATTAAAATCGAGAAAATTAAAAATTAAAATTAAAATCGTTAACATTAAAAATAAAAATCGAGAAAATTAAAAAGAGAAACTCTTCTCGTCTATAAGATCTACATACCTATCTACTCCAGCTCAGATAACATGCAAATCAAACACATCCAATGGGATTAACAGACAGACTGGCAATACGACCCGATGACGACTTAATTAATTCTGCTTCTTTTCGACCATGCAGCTTTAATCCTTGAATGGCTGACTTCACATCCTTTGTCATCGTTTTAATTCCGAGTCGCGCCTCGGAGGATTATTTTTGTCGACAGTGGGATGGCGAGAAAGCTGGCCTAATCAGCACACGGCAGGTCGACGGAAGCCCCGTCGATAACCACCCCTGTCTTCATTGAGTTGGAGCAGTTTTGGACAGATAAGCTCAAACTTCATGCTGGTAAGATTGACAAGAATGTTCGTTTTGCACACTAATACGTCCCCAATGACACCAGTACGCTTTTAAACTAATTCTAAATTGGCTTCTTTCTATTAATAAAGCAGCGTTATAAACACGAGACATTTTAAATGTGGCTCAGTTTATCAATTTTACTTTACAAATATATGTAATACGTACATATTTATAGAGCTAATCAATCATTTGGTTATATCGGTTTAAAAGATTCGAAAATAATATGTTTCAGATGAGAATTGTCCTCAAATTTTTAAAAGCTTCTGTTGTCAGTGTCTTAAACATCTTCCCTCGTCGGTGTCTTAAACATCTTACGAAATGCCGATACTCAAAGCAAATAATCCGTTGCTAAGCTCTTAAGAAGATTATATAAGATTAAACTACAGATTCACAAAGTCTGTGCAGAAAAGAAATATTTCACAGATTGATGTTATGAATTAGAATATTTTCGGTTAGTTGAGAATATACAGATAATCAGTTTGAACTCTTTTATTAGGCGCAGTGAACAACCACAATGCCACACATTTTTTTTTAGATGAAATCACTGTGCTACAGTGTCAGGATATAAATATGTATGCGTGATAACATTCGAAAATTTCTAACCATTAGTGAAATCAATAAATTTATTACATCCTTATTTATAAGCACAGTTGCATTTACAGGCACTATTAAAAACTATGTTATTGAGTTTATTTGCGTTTTAATTCAATAATATGTACAACATCTTTAAATTTACATTTTGTGTATGTGCCACCAGGCCTTTCACTTAAATAATCACTCTGGATCATCCAAGTTACAATCATCCAGGCTCACGCTAGTTACAATCACCCAGGATCACGCTAGTTACAACCACTCTGGATCACCCCAATTACAATCACTCTGGATCACCCCAGTTACAGTCACTTAGGATCACGCTAGTTACAATTACTCAGGATCACGCTAATTACAATCACTCTCAATCACCCCAGTTACAATCACTTTGGATCATCCAAGTTACAATCATCTAGGATCACGCTAGTTACAGTTACTCTGGATCACCCCAGTTACAGTCACTTAGGATCACGCTAGTTACAATCACTCAGGATCACGCTAATTACAATCACTCTAGATCACCCCAGTTACAATCACTTTGGATCATCCAAGTTACAATCATCTAGGATCACGCTAGTTACAATTACTCTGGATCACCTCAGTTACAGTCACTTAGGATCACGCTAGTTACAATCACTCTAGATCATCCCAGTTACAATCACTCTGGATCATCCAAGTTACAATCACCCAGGATCACCCCAGTTAAAAAAGGACATTTAATGGCACTCTAAAATAATTATTTCTTAATCAGTTTAAAAGTGGATTCACCTGTCTTTGTTTATGTATGTAACTTTTTAACTCGTAAAATATAAGTCCCTTTTGATTGCTTCGTTGACACAAAAAATAGTAAACAGAACTGTTTCACTGAGTTATCTTACATGACTTAGTACAGAGAGAGTTATAACATTTTAAATTGTTTAGAAGAGAGAGATAATTCAGAGTTGTGGTACTTTAAATTAATTATTAAAGACAGATAGTTCAGTACTTTAAACGGTTAGTGAGTTGTGGTTCTTTAAATGGTTACATAGAGAGGGATAATTCAGCAAGGTGCAGCATTTTAAATGACTTAGTAAAGAGAGCTAATCCATTGAGATGCAGTAGTTTGAATAGAAAATTCAGGGAGTTGTGGTACTTTAAATGAATTATCAGAAAAGGCTAATTCAGTGAGTTGTGATATCTTCAATAGTTTTTATTGCTGTTATTTCATTATATCTTTTTTTCTTACACGTGAAACGTATTTCTATTTTGACACATGTTCGTCTTTGTTGGTGTATGCATTTTTTCAGTACCAAGAAGCTATGTAAAATAAACACTTTTACAGGGGACAATT